ATTTTGGAAATCCGGAAAGTTAGGGGCGAGAATATTGGAAATTTTGGAATTGAGTTTGTGAGGGCTGATCGCCACCCATCCGATGACACACCATGCACATCTACTCAGTTGAGAGGGCATGGTCTGTCAACGGGGGGGGGGCGACCATATATATATATATATGCAGCATGCTAGGCATGGTAGGTATCTAAGTGTCTGGTCAGGTACGTTCGTAAGGTGCGCGGATGGCATGGCTTAGAGTTTGTTGTGCTCCGCTCAGAGCCCTGATCTCCAGGACCATGGCTTCCAGTTTCTCGAAGGGCGAGAGTTAGGTGACCTGTCTTCACTTCGAGTCCAGGCACCAGTCTGCGCTGTTTTTGGACTTTCGAGGTACCCTCGAGCCTCTTGAGCAAATGGAGCTGCGGCAGCCTGACGATCAGGCCAGGCGCCGAATAAAGGGAAGATGCTGCTTTGTTTCCGGGTTTACAATAACGAACCCCCGAAGACTCAAAAAGCTAGTGTTCTTCCTAGCCTCCTGGCTGTCGGGAGGCTCCCACTGGTGGTTTCTCTTTTTGCTTCTGCGGCAGCAAGCTGGGCCCACAAATGTTTCAAAGGGGGCCGCAGCCTGGCACATCGCATGCGCCTGCTTGAGGTCAGCGGTGCGGGATTAGGCCCGAGGCCAAGAAACAGTCTGCACTCACTTAGACTCAGCCTCTTTAGAGCGGGAGGCCTAGAAGCCGCCGAAGCGCGGACTGTGAGTATGCTCTGTGGCCAAACGGCACTCTGGCGTTCAAACGCTGCAGAGACAGAAGACAATTGGGGCAAAGGTCCTGTACTTCAGCTGGCAGGATTTTTTGGGGTCGTAGCATTACTCCCCGCTGATAGCCCTCTGCCGGACCCTGGCGTGCATGAGACTAGAAATCCTGCGCCAGCATGTCTCACCGTGAACTGAGAGTAAGGGACGAGAGGATAGGATAGCCAGCGTGCACATTGTGAAAAATCGTTGCGAGAGAAGATGCGTTGGGCACTTCGTCGGAACGGGCCGTCTCTTTGGAGACATGCTGCTTTGCCCGCGGCACTTGCTCAGGCCCTTGTCGGCCCAAGCGTTACAGTTCCACCAGTCATGAATGGTCATGATGTGGTCATGGAGATTCGTTTCCAGGTGACTTCATAAGAGCCTCGCGCTGCCGTGGTTCGGAGATGCTGAGAACGCCGGAGGCAGTTGCAATCAAAAGCTGGTCGGTGCTGTGTTTTTTCATGCGTGGAGGCACCGCCGACGCCGCCCCCGCCGCCCCCGCGCCGAGCGACGCTCTCGCCGCTGCTGGCCGCGGCGCGCCAAATCCGAGCGCTCAGACTCTCAGTTCGGGCTCGGAAAGAGCAGGCCTACTTCGGCAACGTGGAAGAGCTCATGGATGGCTTGAGACTGAGACAGCACCCCAATACTGTAGGTATTTCACGTCCACGTGCCTGCAACCGTTTGCTGACGAGATTGATGGATTGCGTGTGTACCTCCTGTGAGCCAAGGATACAGAACTGTTTCTGGTAGCTCGTTCAGCCCTATATGTGTCAGCAGTCTGGCAGTGAGCCTTCTACTTACATACCGGAGTCGTCAAGTGAGGAGGCGTGTTTAAGATAGTGTTACGTGTTTGAGATATATGATGAACCGCGATCGGCAAATGAGGGGTCGTGTATACGGTATATGATGAACCGGGATTGCCACATGAGGGGGCGTGGTTAAGATGTATGATGAACTGGAATCGCCGGATGAGGGTGTGTTTTAAGATTTATGATGAACCGGAACCGCCAAATCAGCGGTAGTGTTCGACATGAATGATGAACCGGGAAGCTAAATGAGGGGGCGTGTTTAAGATGCATGATGAAGCCGGATCGCCAAACGAGTGGGAGTGTCCAAGATATATGATGAACCCAGATCGCCAAATGAGGGGGCGTGTCTAAGATATGTGATGAGCCTGAATCGCCAAATGTCGGGGCGTGTCTGAGATTTATATACGATCAAGCGGGATAGCCAAACCAGGAGGCGCGATTTAGATAAACGATGAACCGGGATCGCCACGTGAGGGTGCTGTTTTAGGATATGCGATGAAGCGGACTCGCCAAAGAAGGGGGCATGTGTGTGTGTGTAAGATTTTTGACGAACCGGAATCGCCAGATGCTACCAAGAGATCCCAACACTTCCAGATTGCAAAGGGCTTTGCCAAGAATCTGCGAGTGTTTGTCCTGAATTGTCCTGGCCAACGAAAAGCAAACACTGCAAACGTTGCAGGCTCACTCATGGATCTCTGCGGGGCTAGCTTGAGGAACCCACTCACGCACCCGCTAAGCAAGGGCCCCTGTGCCAAGCAAGGGCCCCTGTGCCGAGATCAGCTAGCTCAGCTAACCATCGTTCGAGCCTTGAGATTCTTTTGGCCCCGGAATGCCACGGACCCTTGATTAATGGCTGAATCCAGAAGTCCACACCAACCAGTGTGTGTCCCTCTCTCTCCTGTTTCTCTTGCCGCTCAAGGAGAGAAGGTGAGGATTTGGAGGCCCAGGATCCTTCGGATGGCTGCCGACCATTGCACGCTGCCATCCTAACGGAGCAGACGGAAGCGGCCAGCTACCTGATCAGGCACGGGGCCATCGGGGCGATGTCTGAAAATGTCCGAAAGCCCGCTTGGCATCGAGCCCAGGCAGCGCGCGGACCTGGAGAGCCGGGCCTTCGAGGGTCTGACACCCCTGCTGCTCGCCTGCCGCTCGGATGCGGGCAGGCCCCGCAGCCCCGCAGCCCCGCCCCGCGTGCAGCGTTTCACATAGTTTCGTCTGCGAGCTCGGGGATTCCCATGTTTGATGTGACTTGGTGGGGAGTCCGGAGGATGGTGCGTCTGCTCTTGCGCCACTCGGCTGATGTGGCCGCAAGGGACGCCTCGGGCCGCTCGGCCCAGGACATCTGCGCGGAGCATCGCTCCAACAGCGCTGCGAAGGCGCTGGCCGGGGAGGAGGAGCTGGAGGAGCCCCAAGAGTCGGCCGAGAGCACAAAGAGGAAGGAGCAGAGCATTGCCGAGGTGAAGTGGGTAGCTATGAAACTGCAAGCAAGGGTTCTGTAGCCATGGGCCATGCGGTGAAGCGTCTTAAGCTTGCTTGGGGGTGGGCAAATGCATTCAGGTGACACAAGATGACGGCTCAACACCCTACGCCGGCGAAGAGCCCGTGAGGTGCGAACAGGTACCGGCGGAGCCTTGGTTTGGTTCCGCGGTCGACCCGGTGGAAGCAGAGGGAGTAGACCCCCAGTACGAAGCTTGGGACCAGGAGATTCAGACAGGCAACAGACCTGGAAGCCAGCAAGTGCCTTAAAAAGAATGGGTTTGTGTTTGATGCCGCTTCTGCTGAATTTGGTCTTGCTCAAACACCGACCTGGACGGGCGGTGGACCCTAGCACCAAAAGCCATTGAAGGACATATGTTGGGTGTCCTAAACTCTTTCAGAGGGGATGTTGCCAGGTCGCGTGAGACTCCACGGCTGAGAGAAAACAGCACGCTGAGCAAACCCGAGGGACGGTCAAAGTTCGGGGTTTGTGGCCTAGCCTAGCCCGGCCATCCGCTGCGCCATCTGCGCATACAAGCACCCACAGAAGCACCGAGCCAGGCGACAAGGAGGCGATCAAGTGCCCACAAGTAGTTCAAGCTTGCTGCTGTTTCACTTGAAGGTGTCTATCCTCAGTACCACTCGAACATAAAAAAAGCCGGGGCGGGCGGGGGGGGTGGGCACCGCTCGCGGGGCCTTTGGGAGTCGGCTGCTGCCGGGCCGAGCGCGCGGCGACCGCCTGGGCCTCGCGACACCTCAGAGCCTCTACTACCGCTCCCGCTCCCGCACTCCTCCAAGAGAGGCCCACCTCGGGCACCAGCTGCGCGAGATGCGGACATCCCAAGTCTTTCGAAATTCTCTGAGGATCCGCAGGTCTCTGTGCTGGATCTTGGAAGAGCCGGATGCCAGCGTGGGCCTTGCTTGAGGAAAGTTTGAGATACGAAGCTGAAGTGAGTGTCACAAGGTTCGGATGTCCCACGGAATTGGCCTGGAGCCCATCTAATCGGATCGGTTTAGCCGAGGGTGCTCTTTCATGCTCCTCAGCTTTGTGGAGGCTTGCCTGAATGTGCTGCTGACCTTATCGAGTATTCGTGGAAAGCCCCCGCAGAAGTCCCGCCGAGTGGCCCAAGCCCGCACAGGGATCACTGGAGCGTTGTCGGTGAGACCCGCCGAGTATCCTTAAAGTACCCACTTCCAGAGAAGCTCGCAAGAGTTCCGCCGAATATCCCTGGAGAAAAATCCGCCTTGGTACTACTCTTTGTTTTTATCTTGAGTAAGAACGAAGACGAGACTAGGACAGGAGAAAGCCCTCTCTCCTTTTTTGTGATTTCTTTTTGTTTCAGCTTCTACCCTTTCGTATTCAAATCTCCGAATGCCCTCCGATCTCCCACGAACAGACTTTTTAATGCCGTCGTGATGGCCATGATCCTGATCAATGTGCTGGCCGGACTGAAGAGACGGATTTCGTTGGACCGCGTGTCGCCAATCACACCCTGAGGTGCTTGCCATGGCCACCCGGAGGCGCGACCCAGGAAAAATGACTAGACTTTGCTTTATCGCATGTTCGCGTGCACCTGGTCGAGTCCCGGTCGAGCTTACGGAGACTGAGCCGCTGAGCGGCTGACTGAGCCGTGCGATTTGCGCTTTCAGCATACAGCGTCTGGCGCTCTTACAGCGCGAAGGACGCGCTCTCGTTCTTGCCCACGATCCCGAAGCCAAGAGCAATGATTGCGCGACATCACCTGAGCAAAGCATCCATGCCGCAAGCATGATGTCGTCCAGCGCGATCGGGTCACTAACTGGCCAACATTGATGCCGAAGCCGTGATATCAGCAGGGCATCCATGCCCAAACCCCGACATCATACGGGATACGGTCACCAGAGCATCCTTGCCCCAAGCATGATCAGGTCCACAGCGTGCAAACGTACGCCCGCGAGGGACCAAGGTATTCATGCCCCCCAAACCATAACAGTGATGAGAACGTCAGGCTTCATGCGAATCCGTGATATCTTCCCCACAACCGCACGGTTCCCGAGCTCATGTGGGTCGCCAGAGATCAGTCATCACTCAACGTGCACGGCCAACCGAGGACCAGTGCCCAAACCATGACAATACATGATTGTTCCGGGCGAGAGAAGGAGGAGGCAGACATGCGTAGATCTATAAAATGTATGGAGCAAGCTCAGAAGCGGGCGCAACATGCAAGCAGACCTCCGGTGCGTGAAATTTTCAGGTGTTGACCGATCTCTTCAACTTCCTCCTGGAGCCTTCCCTCTTTTGCCCGGTGTTCCCTCTTGCAGAGGTAAGTCATCACCTGGCACTTTAGGGCCATTGGTCTACTGGCGCCTCCCTTCCGTAAGCAGAGGCCATGGCCTTCAACGGCGTGTCCTCTCCGTGGTGGACATCCTCAACGACTTGGCCTCGGGCGCAGGCATGCGCACGCGCCTCACGATGTGCTCGGCCGCTCTGTCACAAGCCCAAAAGTTCGCCGGCTCCAGACATGCAGAAAGATCGACAATGCAGAAGTCTCATCTGTCCTACTCGTATACACTTGCCACAGTCTGTCTGCAGAACTAGTGTGCGATTCTGCAGCGCATCGATGGATGAAGATTTGTGGAGCCCATCAACCAACGGGCGTTTGGTGCGCTGCCTGGGTTGCACTGAGGCTTCCTCATCATCATTGCCATTATTGTCATAGTCATCCTGGTCATCCTTGTCGTCGTGCTCCCACTCCTCCCCTCCTCCTCACGGGTCACGGGGTCGTCTTCGCACATTTGTGCTGAGGCCTGGTGGGCCGCAACCGTGTGAGGGATGGCCTCCTGCTGCGGACGGTCCTTGCTGCAAAAGCCACGCTGGCGCCGTGGCTCGTCTACGACCTCGTACGGGCACGCCGCGCCCGGAACTCCTGGCAGGCACCGGGCCCTGAAACGAGTGGTGAGGGCCCAGGGCGCTGCCTTCCCGCCGGAGCTTTTCAGGTCAAAGATGATATAGTTGTTGCTGTCCTCAGGAGGTCTTCTTTCAACTCTACTCCATTGGCTCGGTTCCAGCATCTCCGGTTTTTTGCGTGGGGCCGGAGACCTCGCGGTCCCTTCGCCTCGTCTGCATCAGCGACACGCACCTCTGCCACAAGCAGCTGCCACCTCTGCCGCTCGGAGTGAAATGGCTTAAAAGAAAGCGCGCGCTTCATGTAGCGTCGTGAAGGCAGTCCTTTTCTCTAGGCCCGAGGGGGACGTGCTGATCCACTGTGGAGACTTCACGAACCACGGCAGTCTCGGTGAGGTTTTGGACTTTGTGGAGTGGTTTGGTGGGCAGCCGCACAGTCGGAAGCTTTGTGTCCCGGGGAACCACGACATGTTGTTGGACGAAGACTACTACGAAGCCTACTGGAGCGACTGGTCTCGTGTCAAGGAGTCGCCTGCAGAGGCGAAAGCGGCTTTTGCGTCTCAGAACATCGAGCTTTTGATCGACCAAGGGACCAGCATTGAAGGTGTCACCTTCTATGGTTCTCCCTGGGTGGCACAGGGTCATGATTGGAAAACGGCTTTCAACAAGCAGGACTCGGAGCTGGAAAACTGCTGGGCACGCATTCCTGAAAACTCAGATGTGCCCTCGCCGCACATGCCTTCATGCCTTCATCCGCATCCCAGCTCCGCTTGAAGAGAAACTTCCCAGGTGCTGCTGACGCACATGCCCCCGTACGGGAAGGGAGATCGAAGCTTGGACGAAGTTAAGGAGAAAGAGGAGAGTGGTTTTTTGAGTGGATGAGTGGATTGCAGCAAGGATTAGAAGGCGGTGAGCACGTGGGCTGCAGCTTCTTGACGGAAGCGGTGAAAGCCAAGCGGCCGAAGCTCCACGTCTTCGGTCACGTGCACACGGACCCGAAAGTGCAACAAACACATTAGGGCCATTAGGGTGAGGGACCTGGCGGCGGGGGATGCTTGGTGCTTGCAGGACACGGGCATCTTCCCTGCAGAGACCAGCACAGCCAGCGCGGCTTTGCTTGCATTTCCGGGACAGAGTGGAGCCAGTTTGATCTTGTCTCTCGCCTGGGACCCAAGGGCACCGTATCTGTGAATGCCGCTTCCGTGAGCGACACGCAGCTCGGCAAGAAAGCGGAGCACGACGCAGAAAGCTGCGGTCCCGAGGCCACAGTGGTATAGCCCTTTCCGCATCTTTCCGAGGTACTGGGTCTCTTGCCTCTACGGCGGACGCCAAGCCCTGGTACTGGACCTGGCCATCTGAAAAAGAGTCCGTCTGCTGCCTGTGGGGCTCCTTTGGCTCCTTCATCCCTCTGCTTGGTAGCGGCTCTGTGCCAGAAAGCGGTGGCTCGGCAATCACCGCACTGAGGCTCGGCCCTCAGAGATCAGAGTCATCAGAGATCAGAGGGTATTTCCGGAGGATCGCCCCACAAAGGCCGGAGCCTTCCGCACGGGAGGCTCAGCTTCGAGCGCTCTTCATCGAAGTTGCTCAAAATGGCGAGGAACAGGTTCAGGATCACAAAGCTCCCGAAGATCACCTGTCAAGACAGTGTCGGAGACACTGCGGAGAAGAATAACTGAGGGCCATGCGAGGAACAACCGAAACAGCATCGGGCAAAACAAAAACAAGCGACCTCCGCCCCTCAACAAAAAATGCCTTCATGCTGGGAAATTTCTCGGCCAGCTTGAAAGTTCGGAGCATGCGGAACCTTGCGGATCATCCTTTTTGCGGGTATTAGGTCATGACTGGGATGCTGTTCAGGGCAGTGCAGTCCATGTCTCTCCAGCATGGCCTGGCTCTGCTCTGGCAGAAGGTGTTGCGGTAGAAAGGATAAGAACTTGGACGGACGATGCTCGGGGCCCACTGCCCGATGCCCGTGGCCGTCCGATTTCCGTTTTGCTGTGCCCTTTGCCGTGTCATTTACTTGAACCATGCAGCTGTGTGTTGGCAGTCCTGGCTGGGGCTTGCCATTGATTTACTACTGAAGCACGGTATTGAGATTGCCGAGGAGTGCCAGGTGATGGTGGCTTGGATTCCCTTCGAAGGCGAGGCAGTTGTTATGCCCATGCATGTGGCCCTTCGCTGAGCCATGTTCGGCACTGGCTAGGGAGCCGTGTGTACATATACCCACAGAGGAAAGTGCGCAAACTACTTACACATATGACATATTGTACATTTAAACATACGTGTGTATGTATATATATATATATATATATTATATATATATATATATATTATATATATATATATGTTTATATGTATATATGTATATGGCAAAAAGAAGTGTGTATGTGTATATACACACAGAGTCGAACTGGCAATGTCCTCTGCATTGCGCGGACTCTGAAAGCTTCCCCTTTCGCAGGATGGCCTTTCAGGGAGATGCGAAAGCTTCCACGAAAGCTCTCACGGTTCTGGGCTTAGGCAGCGGGCAATTTGTGAGCAGGTCACTTGCGTGGCACAGTGGAACTGAAGCAATACCCTTGAACTGCTCTCTGCGTTTCCCTTTTCTTAACTCTGGATAAAGTGTCTGGAATCGTTAGGATCTTTCTCGTCTTTGGGACGTCCCCATGTTCAAAGTGCTGCACTGGCCTTGCTGGAGGCTGTTGCAATTCAAGAGCCGATTTCCTTCCTAGGGAAGTGGTTGCCGAAGTCAACTTTCGCGAGCCTTACACCTTGCGCGAAGTCCAGCAAAGTTAATCGAATGACAAGTACCAGCATTTTCTAGCATCCCTGGTCCTCCGGAATCTGCCTGGCATCTAGCATTTCTTCGCATATTGTCTAGCATTATCTGTCTGTAAAGGTTGGTCTTTCATGGTGTGAGCATGGTTTAGGGTTTAGCCATCGTAGGGCCAGAAAGCCCAGCACTTTGGGGCTCTATGGTGTTTCTGTTTCCGGACCTACCCTTTCATTCATCATTCTTTCAAAGTCACAGATCTTCGGCACATGAGCAAAGTAATGATTTAGCTTGTTCTAGCTTTCTATAGCTTTTTCCAGCTGTCTCGTAGCCGCGCTTGTAAACCTAGATGTTTCTGTGACTCGAAGGTCCGATGGAAAAACCCAGCTCTGGGACCTCCCATCCGAGGCCTGGCGCCTGCAGGCACTGCTCGCAGAGCTGCGTGTGGGCCTCTCTGAAGTCAGAGCTCTGGGGGCCGTTGAGGTTTCAGCGCAGGCTTCGGTGTGTTCCAGTCCGGCGCGTTAGGCCGTAGAGGCCCAAAAAGAGGCCGCAGGAACCGTAAATACGAAATAATGTCTAGAATCATGAGACCAATGTCTACAACATTCCCAGCACGCCGCAGAAGATAAGGAATTCAGGCCATTGCCGCGAGCTTCGAGTAAGGGACTTGTAGGGCCAGGGGGGTCTGAGCTTCGAGAGCCCAATCCTCTCCAGAATGTGGAGGCCTTCAAGCCTAAACCTCTTCCGCAAGACACATGACAACCACATGTCTAAAGTGGGCGCCTGGACGAAGTGGTTGGACTTCACCTCTCGCGGAGAAGAGGGCGGTTTGCCTCCGCCGAGAAATCCTTCCAAACTCCTCTAGTTCTTTAATCTGCACCGCTGGGAGGCATCCGGCCGCCCAAGCGCACGGAGCTCTGCGATATTCTGCAATGCTCTGCGCTTCTCCGTCGACACCACGCGACACATGGCAGTCTCCGAGGCCCTCCCTCGCCGCCTGGCCGTCACTGGGGTTTTTTTGAGACTCAGGGCCGGCTCCGGGAGGCTCCGCCCGCGCTGCGGAGTTTCGAGGCCGCTCCTCGCTCCAGCCGGGCACGGACGCGGATGACCGGCTCTGACATGTCTGACCTGACGGTTAAAACCCAAATCGCAAGAAAGAAAATTGGGTCGATTTCGCGTTGTGTTTCGTCGTCGTCGTCGTTGTTGTTGGTGCAACATTGGGTTTTGTTGTTTCATGCTGCATGTGCGTGTGCCATGCGGAATCTTTGCTCACAGCTATTGCTTGCAGGTCAAGGCTCGTCATCCCGCAGCACAAGCCTATAGGGCACATAAGAAAGGCACGGCAAGCATCCTCAGCCCCTCAGCGACGTTTGTCGTCTGGTCAGTGTTTTTTTCGTTGATATTCATGGCTGCCGCGCCGGCACTGGTTGGCGCGGTGGATGTGGAAAATCGCGAAGAAGAGGAGGATAGTCTGCTCCCGAAGGAGGTGAGAGAAGGTGTGCCAAAAGCACAAAAAGACGTGGACTTCTCGGATGGCTCCGGTGAGGAGTGCGGTTCATGCCCTTCTCTTTGTTCTTCCGCCTTCCGCTTGATCTGGTGTGGCCTGTTTAGTATAGCCGTCGGTTTCATGGCCGCTAGTTTCTTGAGGCCGCACATGGGCAAGGGAGGCTCGTTCACTCCAGTGACGCTAGCCTGCCCTGTGCGGGAGCCACGTTCGCCGGAGTCAGTGCACCCACCAGCGGCCGGCGTCGTGGAGCTCGTGGGTTTCAGCAAGGCATGGTTGGCAGGAGCCAAGGGCTTTGAGGCCCCGATCTTGGTCACCGGTGGCGCTGGCTACATCGGGAGCCACATGACCTTAATGCTCTTGGAGCGGGGCTTCGACGTTGTCATAGTGGACAACTTGTCACGCTCCAACATGCTGTCGGTTCGCGTCCTGCAGGCAGAGGCCTGCAAGCTGGAGCGGTCCCTGGCCTTCGCGAACCTGGACTTGGGCTCCTACGACCAGCTGCAAATGCTCCTGAAACGCGTGAAGCCCAAGGCGGTCTTGCACTTTGCGGGCAACGCGTATGCCTCCGAGTCCATGGAAAAGCCCTTGCTGTACTTTCAGAACGTCACGGAGAACTCGCTGAACCTGCTCAGGGCCATGGCCTCTGCGAGAGTCGGAAAGATCATCTTCTCCTCCTCCTGCGCCACTTACGGCCCAAGTCTCAGAGGAGGTTCCCGTCTGCCAGTGTGTCTGCGCCAGTCTTCTGCGAGTCTTCTGCGACCGAGGCAATCCCAGCAAAGAGCAGGTGCCGGTCACAGAGATGCTGGAGCAAAAACCCATCAGCGTCTACGGGCAGAGCAAGCTCATGGCGGAAAGGATGATCGCCGCTTGGGTCGGCTTGGGGGCAGCAGGGACAGGGACCGCGCGCTGCGCGACCATCTTCCGCTACTTCAACGTCTACGGCGCCGACCTGCAGCCGCCGAGCAGCAGCGGTTTTGCGCAGCATAGCAAAAACCTGTCGGCATATCACAGCGCCAAGGTCAAGACTTGGACCTGGACTGCGAGGCCGGCTAGCTCCGGGCAAAGTTGCCATTGCAGGACAATACAAGTCTAAAGGAAAGCGCTCGGTGACCCCTCCAGGCCCTGACTTGATGCAGTACAGCCGCCTGCCCGACGCGCTGATGGAAGCAGCACTTGGCTTGAGAAAATCCGTCCCTATCTTCGGGGCAGCGGCTCGCCCAAGCTTAGTATCTTGCACGAGCTTCTTCGTGCTTGCAATGGAATGCTAGCTGGGAGTTCAATCTTTGTCTCCTTGGGTCTTGCCATGTCCTGCCGCTCCCTCAGTTCAGCTTTCCGCCGAGGATCTGGCTACTCGTGACGGGACCGCCGAGCGGGACTACATACACGTCTGGGATTTGGTGGGTGCTCACATGGATGCGTTAGCAGCGATGTTGGCGAAAAGTGTTCAAGGAAAGCAATGTACGTCAGATGTCTACAACCTTGGAACTGGGACCCCAGTCTCCGTACAGCAAATGCTAACTGCGGTAAAAGCCCTCTTTCCGGAAGCAAACTTCACGGTCGACGTGAAGCCGCCTCGTTTGGGCGATCCGGTTTCCATCTATGCGAACCCCAGCAAAGCACTGGCAGAACTTGGATGGCAAGCCAGCATGAAGAATACCACTAAAGCGCTGGAAACCTCTGCACTTTACTTGCGAAAACATGCAGCCTACTTCCGTCTTGACAAGAGGGCGAAAGCGCCCCCAAGCAGCGGAGCATCCTCGACCTGGCAGGGCCCGGGTGCGGCACCGGCGGCACCGCGCCCGACGCCGACTCCTCCAACTCCTCTGACTTCTGCTACTTGGACTCCTGCGCCCAGCACTCCAGGTGCCCGACCTGCAGTCTTCAATTTCTTTACTTTTGTTGCACTTCGCAGTTTCACTTCGCAGTTGCACGTGTAAGGTTGCAAACAGAAAAAAAGAGAACAGCCAAGGTGAGCTGTACAGATCGCGCTACCGAGATCCGGGCAACCCCTACCAAGCCGGCGACATGCCAAATGCCACACTTACCTCCACCCCCTGGGTGGTCCATCGCTTTTCCGACCCCTCGGCGTCACCCCGCATATGTGTGCAGGTTATCACGATCCCAACGGTGACGGGAGGCTATTTGACCAAGACCTTTCACCTTCTGCGCGAATACTGCCGGAGGCATGGCTACGACCTTTATGCTTTGACAGACAAGCTGGGTGAGAAGAGGGTAGCATCCTGGCTCAAGATCAGGAGCGCGCAGGCCGGGACCTCTCCATTCACGCCTTGGTTTACGTCGTTTACGAAACCACGCTCAGCCTGAAAACCCTCAACCGTTAACCCTGAAACCGAAAACCCCCTCGCATTCCTGGATAGAAGCTTTTCAGGAACCCTCGAAGTAACCCTTGAAGGAAGAAACGCCAACCATGAGAACTTAGTAGAGGTCGTAAGTTCAGGGTTTTGGGGATGTTTAGGGTTTAGGGTTTTGGAGTTTCAGGGTTTAGGGTTGGAGAATTGGAGGATTTGGGGTTTAGGTCTTATGTGGCATACTTTGTACTGTTTTCATCCCTGCAGGAGTTCTGCTATGATTCATGCCTTTGACAGCTACCCTAAACCCCACACCCCTAAGCCTTAAACTCCAAGCCGAGAGAGCACATCAACGCTTGCAGCTTCATTTATAGACACTTCAAAGACAACCAGGGTTAAACCCGAGTAGATCCAACAGAAAAATCGAGTTAACTAAATGTACGAATCCTCGCAGAAACCATGACTTGCGGGGCCAGAACGATGTGAAACATGCTTCGGGGCAGGATAGTGTTTTGAGGAATACTTTTCGCCGCCATCGTTGAAGACCTTTGAAGATCTACACAAACCCACTGACACGAACAAACCCCACAAGCTGTGTTGAACACCCAACCTCTTTAAAAAATCTAGCGAAAGCCTATAACGCCCTTTCAATCGTCAAGCGCCGAAGCGGCTCTTTTGCTTAATGGTGCGCCCGGCTCAACGACGTCGTAGATGGCTGGTAAAACCGGTGAAAGCTAAGTGTAGGCATGCTTGATCTAAGCGCTGCAATTACACTGTGACTGCCACACAGCAGGCCTGACTCAACATGAGCCCTTTGACAGTCAATGCCTCAGCAGCAGGGATCGGCTGTTTTGCTTAGGGCGAGAAGAACCCACCGTCGGCCAAAGCAGGAGGGCCCGAACGAGCTACACCCACGACACTTGAAACTATGAATGACTCTAAGAATGATCATGTGACTATCGAGGTAGCTAGTGCCCAATCAAAAACTTGCACAAGCAAAAATTGAGAAGGCAAGAAAATAAACGAAAAGTCCAAAAATGCGAAAAACCCAACACGAACAGCCGAACCCGAAAAGTCGAAAAACACGTAAACTCCCGCAATTGCAAGTAAAGTCTGAGAGCCTAAGCACGCAAAAAGTCCGAAAAGTACACGAAACGTGAAAAGTCAAAAAGCCGAAAGCCCAAAAAGTCCGAAAAAATGTAGGCAAACCCGAAAAGTCGAAAAGCCGAATAGCCCAAAAAGTCCGAAAAGAGCAAGAAAACCCGAAAAGTCGGAACGCCCAACAAATCCTAAAAATGTAAGAAAACCTGAAGAGTCGCAAGCTCGAAAACTTTTCGACTGCTTGACTTTTCCGACGTTTCGAATTTCGTTTCGGTTCTCCACTTATGGAAACCAACGCCTGCTTGCGTGCTTAGCAGTTGGGGGGAGGGGGGGGGTGGAATTTCAGAAACCACTTCCACCCTCACTCCACCTGCTCCCCGATCCTAAATCTTGGCGACAGTTGTTTGCTGGCGTTCTAGAGAGGTTGAAGCGGCAGGACTCTTCCAATGCTTGGGCGCAATTCTGTTTCTTGATTGCAAGCTCGCTCAACACTGCCCTACACCCATTAGATGGAACGCCTTACATCAACTTTCTTCAAGAAGTGTCAGTGCCCTCGTGTCGAGCAGCCCATCTGGCTCCTGCTGCTAGAGGGGACTTAGCCGACTTAGCTCTTAGCTTCGCTTCGTCTCGCCACTCGACACCTCGAAACTGTGTGTTTTGGTTTCAATCTGTGACGCCCACTCGCGACTGTGGCATGCGGTGGTTGGTGCGAGTTGCTGCACGACACTTTCGTCCATCCGGTCTCAGCCAGCAGGATGAAACGTAGTGCAGCTGGGAAAGCATGTAACTCAACTTTGAGGGCGATCAACAAGCTGGCACAACAGTCAAGATAGCCACATGCAGCTTCAAGCAAGTAGGAAAGGAAACAGCCATCCCAGTTCAGCTGTCAAGACACAGCGTGCTTAACAGCTGCGTGCTGAAGAGAAGCTTGGAGCTGTCTTTACATCTCTAGAGTGATGATGGCAGGCCAGTAGGAGCGGTTGAAGATTGACTGCCGCAGGCCATCATCCGCAGCAACACCGGCTGCGATTATCTGTTCTGGATAGATGGCGATGCTGTGATCATGAACATGACTTTCGAGCTGGAGACGGTCATCGGCTACAACGGCAACAAGGACGTCGACGTCGTCGTGTCTGGTGACACGGTAGCTGTTAATGCTGCTATGGGGCTTTGGAAGATGACAGCCTGGAATTGGCAGTTTCTGGAGGACATGTGGAACGTTGGCGATGTTAAGCTGTGGGAAACTGGGGCCATTAACATTCTCATAGCCAACTGCACACCAACGGATTCGAGTGCAAAAAAGAATGCGTGTTACTCGCATAGCGACAGAGGCTGGGTAGACAAATCGTTCGCGCCACATCTAAAACTCGCTGAGCCTTGGGCCATTAACTATTTGCTGGTCAACAAGTCCCTGGTAGACCATCTGGTCTGGGTGCCCAAGCGCCTTATCAACAGCTACCCCAAGGGTCTCTTCGGTGGTCAGCTTGAGAAAACGACAGGCACAGATTTTCTGGCACACTTCGTGAGCGGTGCGGGGAAAGGTATGATGGATGATTGGTGGAAGGCGTCGATGACCAAGAACAACATCACCGAGTTGCCTGTTGATTTGTTTGGGCCAACAGCGACCACTAGACCGCCAAGGGTGCTGCGTATTTAGTTGTATGTTGCGGCACTTGCGCATAATGAGCTTCTTATCGGCGGAAACACGGCCAGCCAGCTTACCACAGCAAGCTTGAACGGTGTCTGCGTAGGCCCTAGGCCCGAGCCACAACACAGCATAGCTTCGGGGCATCGCCCAATCCAACTCCTGGGCGTCACTTGACCATTTGTGCTTGCTGTCCTTAGGCTACATGAGACCCAAGCCCCACGCAGTGTTTGATGCATCTGGAAAGCGGGATTCCATTTTGAGACATTGTAAGCTTGAGGTCCAGGGTTCATCCTTGCATCCTTGCCGACGGTGTGGCCTGATTGGAGACTTTTGTCGCAGTACTGTAGATTAGATTGGGCGTTCAGAACCACAGGCATTCGCAATAAGAGCAGCGGAGAACTTCAGCCCGAACCCCGGGGATAGGAGCCGGGCCTTGCAGTCCACGACAGGGGCATCATGGGAGGAGCCCGACCTAAGAGCTTGGTTAGAGGGCCTGAGGAGTGTGCAGAGGGTTCCTTTACGCTCATGGCGTCGTAAAGATACCGAACGCTGGCCAATCGCCTGAAGCAGGAGGGTACAGATTTCGTGATGACGTCAAAAGCGCAACAATGCCTTTGAGTGCGGGCCTTCGCTGGTGTGCCAATTCTGCAGCTGCAAGTTGTAAAGTCACGTGCCAGAGCCCTACTCAGACCTTACTGGAACAGACTGCTACTACTTCTTGTAGTAGAGTAGATTCGTCACGTGCCCGCAGCCCAGCTTAGCATCCCAAGACTGGCCTTGAACCTCAGACCTGCACATGACAGAAGAAAGCGCGGTGGTAGCTGGAAGTGTGCTGAAGCTGCACACTTAGAGGTTTTTGGGATGGCAGCGGCCCTTTCCTATGGAGCTGGCGCCCGACGGCCTTGGGCCGGGGCCGGGCGCGCGCGTGACGAAGACCTTCCGGGCCTTGTTGGAGCTGCTCGTAGCGCACCAGGCCAGCTTGCCCGAAGGCTTCGAGGCGGGGAAGCAGTTTCCCCCAACGACCCTGAAACAGCACCCCAGGCCCCAGACGCAAGTTTTGGAGGCGACCTGGCAGCGTCTCCAAGTCGCCCTGCTTTGCTGGAGCGGCACAGAAGACGGCCTTTGTCCTTCCCTTGCGGCGCGGAGCTGTGAGGCAGCTTGAAGAAGCTGAGAAAGTGCTCCTGAACTCGCCAGCAGACGTGCTCTATACGTATATACCCGCACAGTACATGCGTGAATTACTTAACTAAACCTGTTGTTGTCTTTGGTTAATTTCATCAGCATTGTCTGTTAATCTTCGGTCTGATGTATCTGTTCATACACCACCCATCAACCTTGAAAACTATCTGTGCTTTGTATTCGTGGCAGGTCTCACCGTCAATGTCGTTACTTCTCATATGTATTTCTATACATATATATCTATGTACATAAATGAATCCCACATTACCTACTGTTGTTGCGTTAGCAGGTTGAAGTTCAATTCCATACAAATATTTATGATCGTTAGCAACTCTAAACTCTTGTGCGCCCGCGGAATTACAGTCTACTTCAAGGTCGTTCTCTGCCGTTAATTTTCCGACTACATGAACAGTCTCATTACATGTTGTTGCTTTGTTTAATGCTACTCCGGATGAATTATTTAACTGTAGAAACGTGAACGATAGACGAACATGCAAGACAACTTGTACACAGAGCACTCCTGTACTCATGTCAGCTCACATATCGGGTATGCTATAGGGTATTCTATAAGGTATGCCAAAAGGTATCCTAAAATTATTCTAGAGGATATTCTATACGGTATATGTAAGGTATACAGATGGCATATTACGTAGGCGGTCTTCTGTTCTATACGACAGTCTATAAGGTATTCTACAGGGTATTCTATAAGGTATTGTACAAAAGGTATTCTGTAGCCTATGTTTAGGAAGGTATTCTAGAGGGTATTCTGTTTGACATTCTTAATCTATATAGAGGGTTATTCTATAGGGTAGTTGTAAGGCTATTCTTCTTCGTTCCTGATTTCCTTCATAGGAAGCCCTTACCCTAGAAGCTACGATTCAGCTGCGGACTGTTTCGGGTTATTGTTGGTAGACT